CGCGGCGCCTTCTGCTGGGCGCCGAGGAAACTGCGGGGCGCGGAGCCGACGCGGGAAGTTCCTCCCTCCGAGCCCCGCGGGCCTCTGCCCCCCAGCGCGGGCAGCGCAACGGCCGGCTCGCGCGCTGCCCATTGTTTTCTATTTGCCCAGGGCAACCGGGAGCTCACGGGAGACGGGGCTGGAACCCCATACCTGCTGGATGGGGCAACGCTTGGGTCCTTTCGGTGACAGGGAAATAAGCCCTGGAAGTAAACACAGCCTGGCCAAGGAAGACAGATTCACGGCCTCTACCTCCACTCCCCGCGACGCCGGCCTCCTCAAATTACCTAACAAACCTCGGGAGATCAGTAGGCAGAAAGTCTGGGGCCTATTTCCTTTCATAACTGCTCCCACTTGCAGTTGCAGGACGTGGCGGGAGACCTAGAGCATAGTCATACTGGCAGTAGCTCTGCTGCAAGTTTTGGGCATGGATAGTTAGCCTGCCCAGAATAAAGTTCTGTGGTTTCCTGTTCTCATAGAAGACGTATCAAGATTTAAGAGCAAAAAGAAAATAAGTAAAATATGAAAATATGCATATGGAGGGCTGGATGATCATTAAATGAACTGTATGCAAATAAATGACTACTCAGCCGGGAGCGAAAGGGGAATTCCACCCTTTTAACAGAAAAATGAATTCTAAACTTACAAAATGTTTTAGTATTAAAAATGAAATCAAGCCGGGTGTGGTGGCGCATGCCTGTAATCCCAGCACTCGGGAGGCTGAGGCAGGAGGATCCCTGCGAGTTTGAGGCCAGCCTGGGCTACAAAGTGAGCTCAAGATCAGCCTGAACTGCATAGTGAGACCCTGTCTCAAAAAGACAAAAAAAAAAAAAGGAAATAGCAATAAATTTTCCTATATAGAAGCGCTTTGAGGGGGCCTGGGGACATGATGGCTTGCCAAACATGCATGAAGCTAAGAGTTTGATCTCCAGTACCATTTAAAAAAAAAAATAGCCAGTGATGATGGCACACTCCTGTATCCTCAGGTACCCCAGAGGGATAAGAGGATTATTACAAGTTTAAGGTTAGCCTGGGCAAGTTAGTGAGAATCTGACTCAAAATAAAAAATAGCAAGGGCTGGGAATGTAGTTCAGTAATAGAGCGCCCTTAGGTTCAACCCCCAGTACCACAAAACGAACACATAAACAAAAAGTACTTGGGTGAAGAAATTACCGTGAACAAAACAGGAAAGAGAAAGGACAAACCATGAAGAAATATTTACAATCGACTTGCCAATTGCCTGTGTTCGGTATGTAAAAACACGCCAAGTCGTATCCCTACAGCCTGCACACTTCTGTGTAACCTGTACCCTGCTTGGTATACAGATCACAAATATACACACCAAATTATAAAGCATAATTTTATGTATTTGCTTTCTGCTGCTAGGACAAAACACAGGTACCTAATGCACACAGTTTAAAAGAGAAAAGGTTTACTTTGTCTCAGTGTCAAGTTTCAGTTCCTGGTTGGTGGGTTCCCTGCAGAAACATCAGAGTGGAAGGAGGTGGTGAAGTAAAGCTGTGCAAGGCCTGGTATCCAGGAAGCAGACAGGAAGGAAAAGCCCAAGAAAGAGATGTGACTTTGACACACCCAGACACACCCAGAGCATTTTAAGTGTCTCTCAAGCCAAAAGTTAAATGTCACAGTGCCGTACTATAACATTTAAAAAAATCTGGGAGTCAGCTGTGGTGGCACAGGGGAGGCTGAGGCAGGAGGATTTCAACTACCAGACCAGCCTGAGTTACAAAGACTGGGGAAAAAGAAGAATGGTCATCTGCTTTTGAAAATATTTCTAAGAGATCTTCAAGCAGTGTATAAGGCTTCAGTTCTTCTGATAGTTACCTTGGAACATTCATGTCATTGTAGCCATCTAGCAATCCAGATGGGGCTAGATGATCCAAGTTGCCTTTTTCACATGACAGGAAGATGGTACTGACTATAGGCTGAACTCTTTTCATGTGGTCTTTTATCCTCAGAAAGGCTAACCTGGGCTAGCCAGGGATGGTGGCACATACTTCTGATCATTAAATTTATTTTCATAATAGAATTATAGCCGGGCACGGTGGCACATGCCTGTAATTCTAGCACTGCGGAGGCTGAGGCAGGAGGATCACTGTGAGTTCGAGGCTAGCCTGGGCTCTATAGTGAGTTCAAGGCCACCCTGAACTACATAAGGGGATCCTACTGCCAAACAACACCCCCTCAAAAAAAACACAAAGGGGGGACAGGCTGAGGATATAGCTCACTGTGAAGGGCTTGGATTCAAACTCCAGTACTGGAAAAACAAACAGACAAAAACAAGTCATCAGGTTAAAGCAGATTCAACTGGTGAAACTCTTACCTCATATTCAGTCTGTCTGCAAAGGATTTATGACTACTTTTAATCCTGTTATTGCCCGTGACCAAATCCTTAACTCTGGCAACCTCTGCTTAATTCAATACTTTTAGGCACTCCTGCTGTGTCAACATCACCAGCAGCTAGGCTCTGAAACGGCAGAACTATATATGCGCCAGCCTAGGCGCATTGAACTTTTTTTTCTGTACATTGAACTGGGCCACAAAGTACATTGAACTTTTTTTTCTGTACCGGGAGTTGAACTCAGGACCTTGCACTTGCCAGGCAGGCGCTTATGCCACTGAGCTATATCCCCGGCCCCAGCCTAAAAGTTAAGTCACCACAATAGTGATGAGCAACAGATGCCGGGATCTTTGGGATCTTCCAAGACCTTCCTCACTAAAAGGAACAGGACTCTGACCCGGGAAGAATTAAAATACGAACCTGGAGTGTCAGAGCAGTGTAACAATGTTAAGATGGGAGGCTGAGGCAGGAGGATCGTTGCAAGTTCGAGGCCAGCCTGGGCTACAAGCTGAGCTCAAGGTCAGCCTGAACTGCATAGCGAGACCCTGTCTCCAAAAAAAAGACAAAAATAAAAATAAAAAAGAGTGACCCAGGAAGGCGGGGCATTTAGCTCAGCAGCAGAAGAGCCTGCCTGGTAAGCGCAAGGTCCTGAGTTCGATTCCTGGTACAAAAAAAAAGAGTGGCCCAAAGATATAGCTCAGTGGCACACTGCCTGCCTGGCAAGTGCAAGGTCCTCAGTTTGAATCTCAGTACCAAAGAAAACCAAACAATGATAGGAGTTGGTGGTCAAAGGGCACACGGGGCAGCCAGCTTAAAGG